TTTTTTTCATTCATCGTTTCGCTTTCCAACCATTTATTGGGTTCGGACTCTTGGATCATAGCAAGTTACGAACTCGCAGCTAAATTTGCGTTTGATGCTAGCTCAGAAACTAAAGTTTCTCCATGTGACTACAAGATTATACAAAAAAAATACAATTGATTACGAAAAAATGTATCGGATAATCTTTATCATAAACTAATCAGTACAATTCGCAATCAAACGAACGATTCTGAATCAAACGATTCATTATTAAGCGCAACATTGTTTTCTATATCATACAGCTTCGTTTTTATTGCGTAATGGCTGTGCCAGAATGCGCAAAGGCCATACTCATCGGCAAAATCTTCTCCGGCAATCATGCCAAGAGCTAAGAGCCTATCCATCATCAATATTGAAATCTGTTCTCTTCAATCGCTGCCCTGTTTCAATTATTTCGTTGATATATGAACTCTTTGAATCAAAATTAATTAATCTTGTACAAATTAATGTCCTTAGGAGATTTATTCTTCGAGATTAACCTGAATCACTATACATTGCCTTTAACTTTGACCATAGCTGATCTGAGGTTTTTGTTTCTTTTATATGTACATATAAACTGGTTGGACAAAATTGTCATTCAAATTTACAATTTGAGTTTCGCGCGCTCGTTGTGAACTGTCAACAACGAGCGTTATGGCTGATAGGTTGGTAGCATATACGCGCCTCTAATGTCTAGCCTCTTTCTTGATCAACTTTCGAAGCATAAACATCTAAATAAATATATATTAAAAATAATTCATCCAGCATTTCTTTACTCTACTGGTATCTAACGTTAATATTGCTCTTGCATTTTCTAATGAAATCTACTTCTTCTTCAAGGTTTGGCTCCACAATGCATTCTGCTAAATTTTCTAAATTAAAAAAATTTATGCTGCAAAAGCCCAATCATCATATGATTCACGTCCCTTCAACTTTTGTACATTTACCTAATATCCTGATGACATAATGATTATAAAAACACTAAACTGTTACTCATTAAACTTTAATCGACATCGACATTTAAACGACGCCTTCGATACTTATCAAAGAATATTTGAGTAGATAGTGTAAATGAACATTCATTTCAGAAAGTTTCTTCCAAATCTTCCGTATACCTAGTGACTAATTGATGAAAATTGTCAAAAAAAACTTTGCATAGAGCTTATGATAATCACATTTGCGGCCTATCAATTGTACATTTCAAATATGTAAAATTGGATAATAAACATTTCTCAAATATTTTGGATATGGTTGATAGTATGCTCATAGGTCGGTATGACTTCAGTAGACAAGGATCTTCATCTGTTTTAGGAATTAGAATCACTTTATTTTCCACGCCTTGGGAAACACTTTTAATCTCAGAAAGAGTTAAAAAGTATTGCTATATACCTCAGAGTTTTTGGTGTGAGCTTTGGCTACTGAATATTTCTGAAACTATTTTAATCGTCTTCTACGGATGTCAAGAATTGAGTAAAAATATAAAACATATGTTCCAAAAAAATGTGCTGAAAATGAGATTTTGAAGAGGCGATGTTGATGTTGGGGGGTTTCTCAACCCCTTTCGAAGTATTTTATACTCCGAGGAATAATAAAAAAATTAAATGTATTCAGAAAACAAAAACCAATTGGAATACAAATATAAATTAAAAATAAAGTTCTTCTTAATTAATAATAAACTAAAATATATTCTATATAAATTTTATATAAATGAAAAACAAAAATGAACACTAATTAATATTGCATGAAAAATGTTATCTGTTTGGAAGTTCAAGCCGCGGCAGCTATTTGGTTGGATCTGGAAACATCAGCGTAGTCGGTTGGAAATGTTGAAAGGGAATTCGAATGCACTGATAACAAAAAAATAACTGGTTGACTTGACACACAATAGAAACTTAATCCACTGATAACATTGAACTGATAACAAACACTGAAAGGAACTGAATGTACTAATTGGAAGTAATTGAAATGAATGAATTAAACCGAATGAATGAAAACCATGGAAAAAATCGACTTGAATCCAAAACTATTGCCTGCATCGGCCTTTTTTCAGTCAGAATTGCCAGATTGCATAAATTTGAAACGTATTGTCCGAGTAGAAAAACAAACGTTTTACAGGTCCGACAACCTACACAGATGCGGCGCAAACAGGCGATATACTCTTCTTTTATCTATGCGATATACCTTTGAGTTACAGGATTGTGACAATGACGCGCATTATCTAAAAGGATTGTGATTATGGTTTTCTACATTTCATACAGTTTTGGAAAAGTATTTAAAACTAGCCAATTTTGTAAATAAGTCCATTGTGTCATTTTGTCCATATTTTCCCTGTAATTATAAAAAACTGATTGAATTATTCTTTAAAAGTTTTCAAATATATTGCAATAATTTATTTAACTAGTTGGTATTGGTATTTAGCCTTGAGGCAAGTTACATGAACTTTTCGATATGTGTAAATAATCGACTTAATCAATAAAAAATAAATTAATTTATGAGTGTATTTATTACACATAATTGAAAACGAACGAACACGTTAACTCAGAATATTTTCAAAAAGCAACTTTTCAAAAATCAACAATTATTATATTTGAACCAGTTTCCGTAGGATTTTAATGGTTTAGTATGTTTATTAAGATCAAGTACTATATAGTTATACCAAGTAAAACGTCTAATTTTAATTTTTCTTAACGTCAAAAAAACTATTTATTTTCTCAAACTTTGATGAATTTTTAAAATTAAACTACTTGTCGCAAGGCCGTAATATTACAAGTAAGTTCTATAAGACCATGATATATATCGCTAAAAAAAATCCATAAAAATCGGCTCATTTTTTTTTCAACAGTTAATTACAAGAAAACGGCTCGGTAGATTTTCACCTAAAACTAATCAGTACCATTCCCAACTAATATCTTTCGAACAGTTTTTGATTTTTTAAAATCGGTTCGGTAGGATGAGCTTAATAAATGTGGACGAAAAGTTAACACTTTTTTTCAAATTACAAAGAAACGGCTTGGTAGATCGTCGCACAAAATTGACAAACGATAGTCCTCATCGAGATACATCGATTTCTGAAGAGTTGAACCGATTTAAGAAGCTTTTTTAAACTTCTGAAATCGGTTCAGGCGTATTTGAGGAAACATCGATGAAAGTTCTAATTTTGACAAATGCTAAAAAGACCATACTAATTTTTACAAACGTTGACGAATTTTTATAGCTGAACGAGTTGTCGCAGGGCCGTAATATTTGAGTATGATCTAGGACCATACTATGGTATCTACCGTCAAAAAAATAATGATAAAAATCGACGACAAAAAAATTTCAACACCTTATTACAAGAAAACGGCTCGGCCGATCTCTACCAAAAACTAATCAGCACGCATAGATAAACAAGTATAACTCTACAATTTTCCACATCTAACACCCACCAAATATTTACAGAGAGAAACAAATAATCTTTCACTAAATAACATAATTAAAATAGAGAAATGCAAACTAATACACAAAATGAAATTTAACCGAATTAAAACAAGCGCAACAATAGACACAAATCAAGATATACATGAACACTACACTAGACAACACAACAATTTTCACATTGAACGCAATAGAAAGAAGAATTTCAGAGAAAATGTCATATGGAGTGCCAGCAAAATATATAACGAATTGCCAAACAATATTAAGATGACCAAAGATGACGATAAATTTAAAAGAAAAATAAAAAAAACACTATAAGGAAATTGAAGACAAAGAAGACTGAAGAGTGATATATAAAGATATTTTTAGTTATATATAGATATTATATTAATGAAATAGATTATTATAGTCAAATGAAATGTATATATTATATGAAAACTGTTTTCATAATCTCTCATACCAGGCAACTCTGCCTGACTGAGATATGAAAATAATGTATATATATATATAAATAAATTAAAAAAAAATAAATAAAAAATAAATAGATAGCTATGTCGGGCGATTTGACGTTTCATCGATTGAAGTGCGGAGCTAAGATTATTGATGGCAGCACATGTACATTTTGTGAATTAACCCCTGGTATTACTTCTACATTTGTTCATATAATCAACACAGCGAAAAAATCTGATAAAATTTTGATATTAGAAATAAGAACAAAACATACGGAATACAAAATATATTTTCAAATATATCACAAACATATTTGTGAATCACAAACTATAAATATATATATAACATTATACAATATAAAATTATAAACAAAACAGAAATTACTGACTAATATTAACTAAAGTATATTACAGACATATATCTAAAGTACCACAAATTAAAGAGAAATAACTTATTAATATTAATTACTTAAAGACTAATAATAATATATTAGAAACATAAAAACTAAGAAGAGAAAAGCGCAGGAGTATTGACGATAGAATGACAAATTTAGCCGGAATCACAAAACTAGAAGGAATAACAAGTAATGCAAAAATTTAAAAAGATAAAAAGAACAGATAATTTGTTAAAAAGAAAAAATACTTCGCAAACAAAAAAGTCCAAAAAACATAAAATATTGATATCAAAATTGAAAAAACACTAAATTCCTAGGATTAAAATTCATTTACGAGACATTATTCATTATTAACTCTGCATTTAATAGTCACTTTGCTATCTAATCAATCATCAATTAAGCTCCAGTCAAAAGAAATGTTTGAATAGTGTCTGTGTATGAGTGTTTTTAAAACATTACATTCAACCGTGTTATGATTATGATGAAAACATTATCATCAAAATTGTCATAAAAGATCAGAAAGTATCACATTGTGTTTACAATGAACAGAAAAAAGTTTTATGCACATGCAGTCGTTGATGAATTAAAAAGTAAAAGCAACGTTTTTGATTTCGAATATGAGTAGCAAATATATCCTGAAATTAAATACTATATTGGAATGCTGCTCAAGTTATTTAGCGAAGAATATTATATCACTAACCCTCAATGGAAATGCATTCAAATATTAGGCATGAGATAGCTTTGCTTCATAAGTCCTCACATTTCCTAACGTAATAAATAAAGTTATTAAATATAACAATAAACTTATATTAAAACCATTTTCATCAAACAAAAATAAAATTATATGATTGCCACCAAGATGTGAAGTGATCATCTATGATTTGATAGTGTCAAAAGAACCCAGATGTATTCAATGCAGACCATAAAAAGGAAAAAAGTAAATGAAGAAAAATAAAAAAATGAAATATTGAAAAAAAAATAAAAAAAATAATAATAATTTAAAAAATAAAATAAAAAGAATCTTTATTTAAGTTCCTTTCAACAATTTATTAAATCAAAGAGAGAGAATCTTAGAATTGATATAGAAATTACACAAACCACACCAGCAAGAAACAGGATGCAAAACTAGAAATATTTATGAAATGCATTATACTGAAATCATTTTATATAGTAATAATGGAAAAACTAAAATCAATTATAAATAATTTAGAAAAACATGTTTATTGAAATAAAAATGAGAGTAATAAAAAATTGAAACTCATAAATAAAATTATAGTGGGAATAAGAATTGTTTTCTCCAGAAAATATATAAATAAGAATGAGAGTACTAAAAATTTGAAAGCCGTTTTTTTTACTGGATCCTGCTCATTTTCATTTATATATTTTCCTGTAAGATATCTATTTACAGTTCTATTCCAGGTGTTTATAAAAAATACTATAAAAGAATCTAGAAAAATTTGTTTTAAGTTATGCTTTTGGCAAAGAAAATTGAAATTATCTAGTACATGTTTTTCTAATATTATTTGAAATTTCATCTTCAATTTACCATCAATACATAAATCTTTAATGAAATGATCCAGTACCTGACTGCATTTAATAAATAGATCAAAAAATACAGTTCCTGGAACCAAAAGTGAATGGCCTGTGTAATCCCTAGATGCAATCCAAGAAGCTTCATCCCTGCCAATCGGATCTCCTAAAAGTTCAGATGCACAAATGTGGCATTCACCAACATATCCGAGAAGTTTCTTAGTACAATATCCTGCAACGTAAGCATTAGCAGTCTTACTGTACAATGACATGTCCTGGAAAATGAACGGCTCTGAGGCAATAGACATATTGATCAGAGTGTCAGTTTCCAAGACATCTTCATTATTTAAAAACACTCGAAATGTGGCAAGTAACCCAGTTGTATCATCGATTTCACAATTAGAAGACGGTGAATGGCGAGATGATAAATTGTTGACAAGCAAAGTCCGAAAGGCAGACACAAAAGAGTGACAACTTGGATTAGTATTTGAACCCCCATGACTTCTTATGCAATCAAAAAAATTCTCCAAGGGATCTTGATTAAAATTTCTGGTGCATAAATAAGAAAATCCCTGGACACATTTTAATTTATTCCAAATATAGTTCAAGCCTTCTATTGTACTAATCCAGTTTTTGATGCAAGGAGGTTTTGCAAAACCCCTACTTTTTACGAACTGCATTGAATTCAAAACTAATTTAGCTTCACGCCAAAATATAGTATGGGGAGACTTACTTGAAATTGCACATCGAAATTGTTTTGCATTCAATGGCAATTTAGATAACCCATTGACACTATCAAATAAGTAGTCCATGAACATCAAAAATTCTCCAGTACCATATGAAGTTACACTTCCACCTGCTGCTTGGTAAAGAGAATTTTGAAGTCCTAGTTGAGAAAATACTTGCCCAGCAAGACTGACCTTCATACATTTCATTTTTGTTTGATCAAGATGGTGTTCAGTTAATTTGGGGCAACGACGAAAGAATCTTGAATTTGAATCATAGTTATAATAATCTATGATGTCTTTCCAAGATGCTTCTTATTCGAGCCCACTTAAACCTATAAATTTAACGTTGTACTTAGCAAAATTATTCCTTATGCACTTTAACAAATGTGGAGGATCATATAAAGGAACTATCTCATGGCCATCTATTTCGAAAAACAATTTATTCCATTGAAGGTTATTAGCTTTATAATACTCTTCTGTATCTTTTAAAAGCATATTAACCACTTTGCAATTTGCTGCATATTGGTCGCAAACTGTGGCAATAACATTTAGTCCGATACTAAATAACTTTCTTGCCACATCAACAATAAGAGATTTTAAATCAGAACTATTTACCCCACCTTCGGAAAAGTAAAAAGCAACCGGTTGCTTCCAACGATCTTTTACTCCTTTTATCATGAAAACAAGTGCATGATCCGCAAATAAATATTTTCTGCCATTTGCTAGCTCTACAAAGCCAACAATGTGATCCTTTTTCTGATCATATGACAACTCTGTAGATAGTGATATTTCATCAAACATCAAAACACAGTATTTGCTACTTTCATACTTTTTAAGAGAAATAGCTGAACCTAATGTATTAAAAAGACACTCATTAATACCGCTATACAAAGGTATCTCTGAAAGTAACTTTTTCAATGTTTGAGGAGATGGCAAAATAAATAATTGTCTCCAAAAGTAGTAAGCCTTTGGAGACTTTTTATACAGACTTAAAGCAAGAATTTTGTCATCATCTATGAATTTTCTTCCTTTCGGCTTTTTAGTATGCTCCCTTAATTGAGACAATATAAAATTTCTAGCTCTTATATTTAATGTTTCCGGAATATTTAAAAACTTTTCAGAACATTTTATACTCTGTTGCAGTTTATCCCTTAAATTATTGCAATGTTTGTTAATCCTTCTTACCTCCTTAAACAAAATCTTTGATATGTCATACATTTTACGTGCCTTCGGTGTCAAAGCACTCCTGCGCTTTGTTTGTATATTTTTTAAAAACTTGCAGCTACCCCCAAGTACCCCTGTTGATCAGAACAACATGTTGTAATATCATATTTGATTAACTAATTATTATTGCTGCAATTATTATTAAAAAATACCTTTGCGTAAAACTGGTGACAGAATAAGTGACTTAGGGGTACTGCAAAAATCCTTTTCCAAGTTTTTAGGCCTCCATCTCCTAACTAAGAACATAAATATTTATCAGTAATTTTTTGCATATGGCAACAAAATATTTACAATTCTAATTACATGGCCTTTTCACTGACGGGGTTGCTAAGTATTCTCCTTCTCTTGTACCAGATTGAATCTCCAACTCTCCATCATAATTACTTGTGGAGCCTGCATCAGAAATTTCTCCTAGTGTAACAGGAGAACTATTCCTGAATTCCCGTACAGGAGATATTGGCATATCCAACCCACCAACTTCTATGAAACTTGAAGAAGCTTAAACAGAAATAATTTTATTATATAAATTATTTAAAAAAAAAACAGACACAACACACCACTACCTTATTTCAAAAAAGACTAAGCAACTTGTATTTAATTACCTGGGGTAGGATTACTATTGTTTGACAATCTGTACGAGCCAGCTTTTAGATGGCTTTTCCGGACTGACACACCACGTTCTGAAATAATATAAGTTTTTTAAATCTATCTATTAATTACATATATAAATTTTATCATTCTTACGAAATCTTTCTTTATCCATCAAGCAATTTTCAGTTAGATAGGGATCTCCAATGAAGCCTACAAATATCAAGCAAAATACGAATTGAGCTAAATATAAACAATTATTATAATACATTCCTACATTATGAATATTGTATGTACAAACCTGACATATTCAGAGTCGGGAGAGCATTAATTTTAAGACGCCTATTCGAACTTTTAGAAAAGTTTTCTACTCTACAGATATCTGCAAAATGTGCATCGCAAATATATCTGGAGTTGCCACAGCGCAAAGGGGTTAAATCATCCATTAGAGGATTATTAGCCCTTTGAAGCCAAACTGCAAACATCTAACAATAAGATATTTTCATCATATTTTCATTATATAAATCTAATATATAATCATACATACCTGATCGTTACTCACAGGAAAAACATGCAATTTGATATTCAATTTAGAATTTAAACAATTTGGTACGTGACACGCCATATTAAACTTATTTATTACACTCACAAAAACAGAATTAAGAACAAAACTCACAAATTTAGGTTAGTTCTACCTAGATCAAATACAGTAGGAAATACAGCACGGGTTTTTCCCATCGACACAAGCGAGTCATAGCTCGTGTCGTGCCCGTGCATGAGCGATTCGAATTTGAAGTATAGAAACTGTGGTCTATATATAATATATTTTATTTATAATGAAATAGTAAAAACACTATGTGTGATCATATTTATTATTTATAATTTGTACATAATATTTGAGTATTGAAAATGAAAAGGAAAGTATTGTAATTTATGATGTTGACTGTTCGGCAGCAGACGGAAGAGAGAGTTCCGACCCTAAAGCTTGCACTTTGGTTCTCGCGTAGTGTTGCCAACATGATGAGCCAAAGATAATGTTTAACTGTCAAATTGAGGTGCGATGTGGGTTGCCAGGTCGCTACAGATCACTCCCCCCCGGCGAAAAGTTTATCTTGAACTTCGGGCTGCCATCTTGAATTTTCTTGTAAATTTTTGTTGAGTTTTTTTTTTTTTTTTTAAAGTTTTTGTTTGATTAATTTTTGTTTGTTTGTGGCCGTGGCCGTTTTTGCTGGCGGTCGCCATGTTGTTTGGTGCATCGTTTGCTTGCTTGTGGCCGTGGCCGTTTTGTATGGCGGTTGCTGCCATGTTTGCTTGGTGCGTTGTTCGCTTGCTTGTGGCCGTTTTGTATGGCGATTGCTGCATGATTGTTGCCATGTTTGCTTGGTGCGTTGTTCGCTTGATTGTAGCCGTGTGGTATGACGTTTGCCATGTTTGCTTGCTTGTGGCCGTTTTGTATGGCGGTTGCTGCCATGTTTGCTTGGTGCGTTGTTCGCTTGATTGTGGCCGTGTTGTATGGCGTTTGCCATGTTTGCTTGGTGCGTTGGTCGCTTGATTGTGGCCGTGTTGTATGACGTTTGCCATGTTTGCTTGGTGCTCCCTGTCAGCTGCCGTGGTGCTTATAATCGACTCATTTTCCAGGTTAATGAGTGATTTATTGAGCACGTGTTGTTGTTGATGTCAATGTGCGTGGTCGGAGTCTCCATTGTAGGTACTAGAACGTTCTGTATTTCTTGCTCACTTGTAAATTATGCACATGTTTCACTTCCTTCTCACTTTATGCGTGTTTTTTATTCACTTTCGGGGTCACCAATTATAGAAACTGTGGTCTATATATAATATATTTTATTTATAATGAAATAGTAACAACACTATGTGCGATTATATTTATTATTTATAAGATGTACATAATATTTGAGTATTGAAAATGAAAAGGAAAGTATTGTAATTTATGATGTTGACTGTTCGGCAGCAGAGGAAAGAGAGAGTTCCGACCCTAAAGCTTGCACTTTGGTTCTCGCGTAGTGTTGCCAACATGATGAGCCAAAGATAATGTTTAACTGTCAAATTGAGGTGCGATGTGGGTTGCCAGGTCGCTACAGAAGTTAAGCACAAGGGCCATCTATAATCTAAGCTTGGAAGTACGCCACGCAAAAACAGTGCAAAGCCCATTTGTTCGGAGATAACCCCCCATGTCAGCACGATTCTCAACCAATATCTTTCAAACGGTTTTTAAATTTTTAAAATCGATTCAGAATTGTGGACTAAAACGTAGACGAAAAGTTTTTCACTTTTCTGCGATTTATAAAGAAACGGCTTGGCCGATCGTTGCACAAGACTGATAAACAATAGTCCTCATCGAGATACATCGAATGGCTTTTAAATTTTTGTAATCGGTCCAGCCGTTTTTGAGAAAACGTCGATTTACGGCAAAAAATCTGTTCACACACACACACCTACTTTTTCCAAATTTGCTCTCATTCGATTAAGAATGGCTTGAAACGTCGAGAAAACATAAAATTAGCGAATCGGATTTTTTGATGAAAACATAAGCTTCTCTTTCGGGAAGTTAATAACTGCTTAACTTTGTGGGAGGCAGGTCTAGCGGTTTGGGTGTTCCAATAAAAAAAAAAATTAAAAAGAAACATTTGGTGGTCAAAAGTGACCATTAGACATGTGCACATCAAATTATCAGATATTTTAATAATAAGTACAAATTTTGTTTACATTTCTATGGGTTTTGTAATATTATTTATTCGTTATTCTGCGACGCGGCGCTTACACTCACAATCGCGGCGCGATTGGTTTAAAAATGTTGAAAATTTTCAAAATATAAAAAAACTAAAATTTTTTCAGTTTTCAATTTTTTTTTATTTTAATTTTTGGTACGGAAAGTTTCAGCAATTTGTCTTAAGGCACGATGCCTGCCAAGCAATCAAATAGTCATTTTAATTTTATAAAAATGATATATAAAAACTATTTTAAGTATAATTTTTTTTTTTTTTTTTTTATTTTAATAATTTTTACAACTGTCCTGAAACAGACAACAAGTAAAATATTTGACATGAAACTGAAGGCGTTGGCAAAATACAAATCATCTGACCATTGCCAGTGATTTGTCGAATGGTCTCATCTATTGTTGATTAGTGCAGAAGAAATTTTCTTTTTAATCGGGCCCTGGTAGAGTTGATTTGAAGTTTTCTCGCGAGCAAGTTCGGGTGATCAGCTAGGCGATTTCTATATTTGTGTGAGTAAGCGATTATTTCATCCTTAACTGTGCTGGTGCCTGAGTCTTTGTGTATTAACCAATTTGGAACATACTTTGGTGCTTTCAAAATTTCTTTTAATAATTTGTTTTGAAATCTTTGAATTATTAAAGCGTTTGAGTTGGAAGTTGA